TCCTGGGTTCCCAGGCCCTCGGGTAAGGATTATTCACGCCGTCCGTGAGTTTGGAGGCAATTCTCTCTCCCATTTTTATAAAACCAGATCAGTATTTCGGAGAGCTGAAAAGTGGGATTACCTCAACTAGGAATAGTATATTTTGACACCAAGAATTGTCTAATAGCTAAATGTCCCAGAACACCCCTTCCATTGACATCATTTAGATAAAACAGGCAAGTGGAAGATGGAAGAATTGGCAGGAAGTAACAGGATTGTGGGATTTCCCGCCTGGCTCAGTGTTAGTGTGATAGTAGCTTGGAATTGTTCATTTAAACCTATTTGATAAAAGAAGGAACCGATCTAAAAGAAAAACACTGAATCAGGCCTCAAACATCACCATCCATGTCACTAATGGGATCCCCATTCATAGAATCACTGTGGAAGCCAGACCCCAACACACACGGGCATTGGCTTTAGGTTTAAGACTTAATGGGACAGCATTGGTTTCCATCGTAATTTCGATTGCCGATAAAGCATAGAGCGACTGTTAATCTCCAGACAAATTATATTGCAATGATTCTAAAAATATTCAGCCCAGTATAAGCGCTAAGTTAAATAAACTAAAAAGGAAGAACAACAATAAAACCATGTTCTTAATTTAAAGCGCTGGCAAGGACGTGAATTTTTTTTAAAGATAAGACTAAAGATCAATTAAAATAGTAAATGTTATAAAGAAATGGACTCTATTTTATATTTATTTCCTTTTATTCAGCTATCTTTGCAGATAAGATTAAATATCCATGGAGCAGTCTTGGAAGGTAAAACATGATCCTCGAACTACATTTGAATTTAATTCTGTTTGTGTTGATTTTTGTGAATTGAATAGGGTGACCCTGGCTCCCACGGATCTCCAGGTTTTCCAGGATTAAAGGTAAATGTACACCATCGTGGAGATGATAAATGCATTGTCATGTGTAAATGCAGTTTGGCGTCATTCAGAAATTGTGCCAGTGCACGCAAATACGCACACAGTAATTAGAGACTCATCCGTTTTATGAATTATATAATTTAGCTGCGGGTGCACAAACTAAAGCACAATGCTGTTGCAGCCCAAAAGCGGTGTTAAGATTTTGCACAGAATCTCAGTGAGCGTGGGTTGATGTGTCGTTCAAATTAAACGAGAATGAGATCATTTGATACCCAATCACATTTTTTATAAAAGGCATGTTTCTGGTTATTTGTAGGGGGAGCCAGGAGTGTTTGGAGATCCTGGGCCTTTTGGATTTCTTGGCCCAAAGGTAAAAAAGTGAGCATATTTGACTACTGTCTGATAAAATTCTCCGTCTTTCATGCTATTTAATTTATTTTCTAAAGTATTTCAGAAGATGATTCAAAAGATGTAACTTTTGAGAGACAGAGTTAATTTCATACATATTATTTTTATTGCATGTGGTGATAATTACATTTCACTTTTGAGCAATGACCCCTTTGAAGGTGAATAATAACGAAAGTTTAAAAAGCTTCATAGGGATCATATAGTATCACCATTAAAAACAGGAGCCATGGGCCACAGGCCATGGGATGCCTTCTGCTCTCACCACCATAAAATGCTTTTCTTTCCTTTCTAACCTCTGTGACCTGACATTCAGCCCTTGCTCAGGACAAGCGTTGGTGGCATTAAGGTAGACACAATTAAGGGGGACAGTATTTGCTGGTGAAACAAAATATAGATTCAGATCTTGTAGGTGAATAAAATATTTGTTCTCGAGTGCCAAGTTAGACGTTAATACTCATTGTATATCTACAAACCTTCATGGCTTCAGAGATATCTAATTTATGAATAGAGAATCATTTTATTGGCGTTAAAAACACTTTTTTTTTTCTTTTGGGAAAACTTTGCCAGTTGGTTATTTACTTCTGCTCATAGGTAGGAGGTCAGAAGCCTTTGTTCTTCCTAGAAGTTTATAAACCATTCATTTCTCCATTCAGCCTATAATCTATTTCTTATGTGCATGCGCTCTTGGTCCTTCTAATATTTATTTAATGCCAGATCACATGAGAAAAATGTTCATATCTCTAAGAGAAGTGAATGAATGAATGATTTCAGGGGGATTCTGGAGACCGCGGGTACCCGGGGCCACCAGGACTTTTGGCAACTCCACCTCTTCCACTCAGAGGTTTGTGCTTCACTTTGTTCCTCCATTAATTATTTGCAGCTGGGATTTGAGTGGCCCTGGCAGGGGAGCCTGGCCCAGCATTTCCATAGTTGGCACACTAGGCAGGTTAAATATATGAACTTCAGCATGAATACATCATGAATACATACAAGCACTGGGAGAGAGATGCAGCTTGGTTCAACTCTATCAGCATAAGGCATCAAATTTCATTTTAGTATGGAAACTACATACTGGGGTTTTTACTATGTCACCTTTCAGAAAGTTGGCTTTTTAGTTGTTGAAATATGTGTAAAACCATTTGACTAAGACCTATCAAGATGCTGCCTGTAAGAAAAGAGCGGCCTACATCAGTGACAAAGACAGCAGCACCCAAAGTTCGTGTGTCTGCAGAGGCGAGGCAGACGAAGGGGCTCGCATCCAAGATATAACATTTAAGATGCGGTGAGAAACTGCAAAACAGTCTCCTAGTTGTACTTTAAAAAGTAATTGTGTGTGGGTTTTGAAATGTAGATATATGTTTATTATATTCACGTGTCATTATTTTTGGCAGGTCCTCCAGGAGATCCAGGCCTCCCTGGACGCTATGGAGAAATGGGGGCCGTCGGAACCCCCGGTCCCCCCGGTCTCGCAGGTAGACCAGGGGAAGCCTGTGCAGGTACGAATCCACTGGCTTTTATAAGCCAGGTCTGCTCCATCCTGGTCCACACCAGCAGTTGTCAGCTCTAGGCGGTACTAAAATTACATTAGGAGCATTTCAGAAATACTGAGGGATGTGCCTGCCCCAGACCAAGAATGCTGGACTCCCAGGCATCTGCTATTATAAAAGTGCTTCATATTTCTGATGTACAGCCAGGGTTAAGGACCACTGGACGCAGATCAATTAATCACTTACTTGGAAGAAATCCAGGTACCCGGGCCGTACCTCGGAAATATTCAATCAAGATCTCAGGGATGTGGTGAGGAATATGTGTGCATAACAGGCTTTTCGCAAGATTATCACATGCAGATAAGATTTAGAAGCTGCTGCTGGGGTTAGAGTGTGTTTTCAAGTCTCTCCCACCCTCTGGGACATCGACTTGGTGACATTCCCTGGTGACATCGACTTATCAAAATTGAGTGATCTGCCTAGACCCCAACTTAAACCTCTTACCTGAATGTGGAAATACAAGCTATGATTTAAAGCATAAAATTTTGATTCAACCTTTAAAAAAACAAAAAAACAAACAAAAAAAATAGTTAAAAAACCCAGCTCTCCTGCTCCCCCCGCCCCTCCCCCCTGCAAAAAAAAAAAAGAAAAAAAACAACCACAACACAGGTTTTGGTAATATTTGATGAAGATCCTGGGAAATAATTATGTTGACCTAAGGACTTTTTAAACTCCTACGAATGTTGTGCTGATTAATATTTCTAGTAAGATTAGAAATAGAAATTTAGAGGATATTTGCATTCTGTGATCCCAGGAGAACTGATTAAACATCTGAGGAGAAAAGTCTGGAATAAATATAATTTTATCCAGTCTTGTTACATTCACTGACTGAAAAGTTTCCTGAGATATTCAATTGTTAACTACAAAGTTGTTGTTTAATCTTTCACGAATCTAGCTTTCATTTTGTAGGATCTGATGGCTGCAAAGGTAGAGCTTTGTTGAGTTCATTTAATCTTTAGATATTATAGCCTTGGCTTAACTGACCCAAGACTATCTAAATCACATAGAGTACTCTGTCGGTCAGGAAGCACTTGACTCTAGTCTTAGATTTCTCCTCTCGGACTTATTTATAGTAAAATACTGCCTCCAGCAGATTGAAATCAAATCCCAGTGGGAGAAAGTGTCACATGTCTAGCAGATTCAAACCCAAAATATAACAGGAATCTTCTTAATTCTAAAAGCCTTTTTTTTTTTAAAAAAGAATTAACCCGGTGACTTTCAAATCTTCACTACAACCCATAGTAAGAAATAATTTTATATCATATTGCATTTATATTACATCACACAGACACATATATATACTCACATATGCATATAATTGAAAAACAAATTTCACAAAATATCTTTATGGCATGTGACGTATTCTATTTTCTATTCCATTCTTTTCTTAAAAAAAAAAAATAGTTTAATGCTGGCCACAATTTAATTGATTTCATGTTCTACAAATGGGCAGTCACGGCTATGATATGCCACCCACTGTTACTCATTATCCCTGCCAGAAGATAGTTGAGCATTTTCCCTGGAATCAGACAGTATCCAGGTTCATCCAATGACCAATTGCAGAGATACCGAGTCAGGTCCTAGGAAGGGCATGCAGCCGAGTCCACGGGAGCACATGTTCATTTTGTCTTAAGTACACCAGTGTGTATAGCTTTTATTATACATATTTTATCTTATAATCACCTACAGTATTTACCATGGGATAAGCAAGATTTTGGAATCAGACACCTGTGATTGAATCACAGCCTTGCCACTTAGTATAGTGTAGTGAAATAATTATGCGTTTTTACTATGGATTAAGAGTGTTCCAGATTCTATTACTTGTATGCTGTGTGATCCCGGGCATTTGTTAAACCACTCTGTGCTTCAGTTTTTTTTTATCTGCAAAATAGAATTTTTGTTAAGGCTGAAAGAAGTAATAAGTATATGATTCTTAGAATATATCCTGGCATATAGTAAAGACTTACTTTGTTAGTAATTATTATTATTATTATTATTATTATTATTATTATTACTTATAGTTGTCTAAAATTTTCCACGACTTATCTATAAGGTACAAATTTAGCAGGGTTGTTTGAAGAGTAGAGAGAATGCGTGAAAATATAAGCAGAGTCCCAGCACGTATGCACACAAAAATAAAAGCCATTATTAACTAGCATGCCATATTACTGGTTTCTCACAGGGTTTCAGTTGTCTTTTGCTGAACAAATTGTCTAAACCTAAGGGCTTAAAATAATAACAATTATTATATTACTGCAACTAGAGGGCAGTTGAGTCTGATGCTCGTGCAGTCTGTGCCACTCAGCCAATAGACTGACACAGGAGTTGGGATATTTAGAATAAGCATTTATTGTCACAGCATTGGTGATCTGAGAAGGCAGCAGATTAACACTTTCAAAAACTGACTGTCTTTCTCAGTCCAGCTTAGGTTATTTAAGGGAAAATCTGGGCATTATTCCAGAAGCTGATGATGGTTCCGTTGGAGGGAGGTCTGTTGCGCTTCACGGAGCCATCCCTCTGACAACGTGGTCCTCCGGTGGCGTTAGCAACCCAGGAACAAGACGAATAGTCTGGAAGGGATCTAGACCAGAAGGCTTGTGATCAGTAAGCACAAGCGTATTAATCATAAACTTCAGGGCAATTTTCTGTGGCAGGGGAACTTTCCAAGCTCTGGGTCAAGCCCCAGGGGACCATCTATTGTTAAACTATAGGGCAAGGAAAGGTGAAGCCAGGGACACTATGAGGCGTCTACTGCTGAGGTCTCAACTGGACTCTTCTTCATTACCTTTCGCTCTGTCTGTGGTTCAAGAAATCAGGAAGGGCTCAGCTGAGTGATTCTAGATCAGGGATTTCCATGCAGTTGCAGCCGTATGCTGGCTGGAACTGGAACCCAAGGACTGGCCATGCGTCTATCTCCTGCCTACATCTCTCATATAGTCTCAGGGCCTATCTATGTGGATTCTGCACTTAACTTAGTCTTCCTTACAGGATGGTGGCTTTGGAGCAATGAGATTGTTTTTACGGTGGGTTAGGACTCGGTCCCAAGCATTTCAGCTCACAAGGCAGAAGCCTAATCACATTTGATAGTCTAGCCTTGGAAACCATTTAGCATCACTCCCTCCATACTCCATTAGTCCAGGCCATCACATAAACCCGCCACGTTCAAAGGGAGCTGAACGCTCCATTTCTTGATGGGGCAGTGTCAAAGTTCTCCAAGAGTGTGAGGGATAAGGTCAACTGTGGTAGTCATCTTCAAAAACCACAGTCTTCCACAAAGAGATTCTAGAACAGGCACGCTTAGGAAAACACAGGAGATGTGGTCACTTTCACACGAGGGCTTTCAGGTGTCTGTAAGCCAAAGCCACCAGCGAGGGAAATAGGACATCACGGGGAAACAGGATTTAACTGCTGCTGCGTTACTCGTGTTGACCTTTGAACACAGTGAACATCTTATCATCCAAGGAGCGTGTGCTATTGCCAGTTATTGCACTAAGCTTCTCATGTGGATTATTTTATTTAATCCTTGTAACAGGCCTTTGAGGTAGATATATAAAGGATTAAAGAAGCTAAATAACCTACTTAAGTACCCGTGGCAGGAGAGGGAGAGGCCAGGCTCGAATTCAGCACCTCCGTGTTTTCCCACCAACCAAGGTTGCTGTGGTTTTTTATGTCCTCCATAAGTGATTATGCGAGTTCATATTTTTATTTACTAAGGGTGCTAATGTGCTTATTTATAGTATTTTCACCAAGGTGGAAAGATTGAAAAAAAATAATTTTAATTAAATAATATGTATTTATTTCTCAATAACCCTAAAGAATAGGGAAACGTAAGAAAATCTGATTCCTCAAACCTGTTAGTTTCCACTTGTGTGATTATTTCATCAGAGGTGAGGCGTTTTGATAGCTGGGATATTCAATTATTTTCTTAACTACTTTTTTTTTCCTTTAAAAAAATTCCATAGCCTAAGGAAAAATAGACCAATTTGATTTTATCTACAGAAAAGTTTAAATTGATACTATATTTGGTTTTCATTCTTGATTTCTTTTGGAGGCATAATGGGACACCCTGGACCACAAGGAATTCCTGGTCACCCGGGATTTCCTGGGGCAGCTGGTATTCCTGGGAGACCTGATTCTGCTCCAGGAAAACCGGGGAACCCGGGACCACCTGGGTTGCCTGGAGCACCAGGACTGCAGGGGCCTCCAGGATCAGATGGTAAAGTCCTCCTCATTCACATTCATTGGCATTTATGTTGAACTTGATTTTCTAAGTCTTTAAAAATTATCGAACATTTCAGGACCCGAGTTAATATTAATACTACAGAAAAAGTAAATTGATGTTAGATGATCACATGAATGCACATAAAAATATTTGATGGAGAAGTTAAATCCGATGACCAAATTTTGTAAATTTATATAGCTTTATTTCTTAAATATAGTTTTAATTTTGATCAGAATTATATATGGACCTAGCTTAAGAGTCAAATAGTTGTACAAAGCCAGTCACGAAGAACTGCCATCACAGGCAACGCCTTCTCCTGTTCCTTCCTGGATCTTTTGTTATTTGCCTGGATCTTTTGTTATTCAACATACTTATATTGTTATTTCTTAATTTTTCGGTTTGAGCATTATCTTTTGACTTCCCTCTGCAGAAGATACATGTAGCTCTCTTCCCCCTCCCTCCCAACCACACATGTGCACATTGGAAAATATAGTTATTATCAAAATTTTGGTTACATAAATATTCAGAATTTATAATAGGAGAACTGCCATCACAGGCAACGCCTTCTCCTTTTCCTTCCTGGATCTTTTGTTATTTGCCTCTATTCAACATACTTATATTGTTATTTCTTAATTTTTCGGTTTGAGCATTATCTTTTGACTTCCCTCTGCAGAAGATACATGTAGCTCTCTTCCCCCTCCCTCCCAACCACACATGTGCACATTGGAAAATATAGTTATTATCAAAATTTTGGTTACATAAATATTCAGAATTTATAATAGTGATAAAATGCTCTTCTCTGGTTCAGTGATACGACACTATATGTTATTATTTTCCAGCACATTTTATTAACAGTCGTCTTTTGTTTATTTGTGTGTTTACTTGTTTTTTTAATGTACTTATTGCTAATTCAACCTCAACCACCCAGCACTGTATAAATCTTCTAATAATACATATAATTCATTAAATATTCTCTCAGTATTCTCTTTGCACAAGTCTTTCCTGGAGCTTTTTGACCTGTTCCGGTTACATCAGATTGTATTTTAGATCTGCTGCTGAGACACTGTCTTAAGAGACACTGTCTTAAGATCTTCCTTTACCATTGTCCTTAGAATGAATTCTCTTCCTCTCTCTCTCTCCTCCCCATCCCCCATCTCTGTTTTCACAACTCATATATTTCTTTCAATTATTTACTTTCTCATTATACTTCTGAAGAAAGGGTATAGGTCAAAGGATCTTACCTGTCCAAAATGCCTTTATTTCACTTGTGGAATTTATTTGATATTTTGGCTGAGTATAAAATTCTAGGTTTGAAGTATTTTCCCCTCAGGTTTCTGAAGGCGTTCTCCACTGTTGTCTAGCTTACCGTGTTGTCACTGAAGAGTTCAGTAACTTTGAAATATTTGATCTTTTGTTTGAAAGTTTATGTATTTTTCTTTGTTTTCAATATTCTTAAATTTCACAATGATTGGCCTTTGTATGGGTACATTTGCATTTATTTGCAGGCAATCCAAAACAAATCCTACATTTCTAGGGAAAATTTTTTTTTTTAATCTTTAGGTAGAAACATTTCTTGGAGTAGTTCTTTGAAAGTATTCTCTCCTTTATTTTTTCCCTATTTTCTCTTTTTAGATTCTAGATTTATCAAAGACTCAATCCTACATGTCTCTCTTTATCATCTTTATTATTCACCTTTTAATTTTTCTTTTTTTAATTTAATTTCATTATAAGTTTCAAGTATACAGTACATTGATTAGACATTTATATAGTTTATAAAATGATCCCCCTAATTGCTCTTTCTCTCCTTTGGCTCTCCATCTAGCCATTACATGAATGCTAGCTCCATTTCCCAGGCCGTGCTCTGCATCCCTGTGACCATCTATCAACTATTAATTTGTATTTCTTTAACCCTTCACCTCTTTCTCCCAGCCCCACAGCCCCACTTCCCTCTGTACATCACAAGATTGTCCTCTATATTCGTAAGTCTGTTTTTGATTAGTTTGTTCTTTTTATTCCTTAAATTATACATATGCGTGAAATCATATGGTATTTATCATTCTCTGTCTGACTTATTTCACTCAGTATAATATTGTCTAGGTCCATCCATGCTGTTGTGAATGGTAGGATTTCATATTTTTTTAATGGCTGAGTAATATTCCATTGTATATATGAAACATAACTTTTTTATCCAGTCATCTGTTGATGGGCATTTAGATTGCTTCCATATCTTGGCTATTGTGAATGGAGCTGCAGTGAACATAAGGGTGCATGGATCTTTACGAATTATTGTTTAGGTTTTCTTTGGATAAATACCCAGAAGTGCCATTACTGGGTGAAAAGGTATATCCATTTTTAATTTATTGAGAAATCTTCAGACTGTTTTCCATAATGGCTGTACCAATTTGCAATCCCACCAACAGTGTATGAGCGTTCCCTTTTCTCTATGTCCTCGCCAACGCTTGTTGTTCCTTGATTTATTGATGACAGCCTTTCTGACAGGTGCGAGGTGCTATCTCACTGTGGTTTTAATTTGCATTTCTCTGATAATTAGTGACCTTGAGCATCTTTTCATATGTCTATTGGCCATCTGTATTTCCTCTTTGGAGAAATATTTGTTCAGGTCTTCTGCCCATTTTTAAATTGGACTGTGCTTTTAAGTTTTTTTTTTCTTTCTGGGAGATTTTCTCAAATCTGTCTTCCATCTCTGCTCCTAAATTTTTAAATTTCTGCAATCATGTATTTTTTTTCTAATTTCTAAGGATTTGGTTTTTGCTATTGTTCTCTTATAGTGTTTCCTTTTGCAGCAGCCTATTCATGTTGCAGAGATGAAATGGCTTCCTTCATCTGCTTTTTAAATTATGTAGTTTCTTTTAAATTTTTCTTCTTGCTGCATTGTCTGTTTCCTCCAGTTTTGGGGAGGTATCGTTTTATCCTACTGCAATTTTTGAGCAGGGGATCTTATGGTTTAACTGTTTCACAAATCACCTTGTTTGGGGCCTCATTGTCGTTCTACTTCAGAGGTACCAATTCCTGAACTTTGGGAGAAATTTCTCATGTAAATTGTGTTCTTTCTCCGCTTTCCCCTGCCTGGTTAGAATTCAGCTTTTAGAGTCTACTAAGTATTATTACATCTTTTTTTCTGTTGTTTCCTGTCCATTTTTCTTTGTCTTGTAGGCTTATGCCTTTTTATAACATTTTTTACTATCTGCTATTTTACTGGAATTCGGGGGAACAAGGAGCTTATTGTTTACATTTATATGTCATCTTTAATCAGATGCCTCTGAATTTTTTCTTTTACAAACTCTGCTTTATATTTTCTTCATTAGGTAATTATTGATTATTAAAGAGGAACTTTTAAAGGTCTTTGCCATATACTTTTAGTTTTTTTGTTTGTTTTGTTTTGTTGTCCATTACCTTCTCTGCAACCCACTAAATTAGGGCTGAGCTTAGGAATGGCTTCACCAAAGATTATGTAGAAGCATGCTGCGACAATTGTATGGTCTATTTGCATATCTATTCTTGTATCAGAGAAAAAGAATCATAGGAAAGGAATGGGAGAAAGAATGGGGTTGAAGGGAAAACGTGCGCGTAAGAGGCACGTCTACTTGTTCTGTAGGAGACATTCACAAAAATGATGTGATTCTCTCTGCCCGCCCCCTTTTTCCACTGTAAAGTTATATATTGTAGTGTTGGGCACCCAGGACCACAAGGAGTAAAAGGCAAAATGGGTCCTCCAGGAAGAAGAGGCTCAAAAGGAGAAAAAGGCAAGTATGCATTAAAGGTAGAATTCCTAGAAGTCAACAACATATGCAGGATTGAGAGGCATTTATGAAATGTACACTGTGGCATTTCATTTAGATTTGTTACTCATCTTATACCCTATGAGCACTCCACTTCATGATGTGTTCATGATGTGATTGGAACTTACCCAAAAGTCAAATCCTCATGTCTTAGAGTATAAAGGGGACATTTACCTGTCATGAAATTTGCTTCAAAGTGGTGAAGCAAATTTCACAAGATCCTCTTGATTCCTTAAAAGAAGCAGAAGTAGAACTGCATTGATCTTTTATTTTGGTTTCTTTCTGTGGGTCCCATATTTTTCAAACTCATTAGAAGCTCTATGTTCCTTCACCCTAAATTTGTTAGTACCTTTTTGACTGAGACAGGTGGGAATGAGAGCTGAGGAGTTTGACCACCCTAAAGACATTTTTTAATACTAAAGATTCTGAATGATTAGAAGATGCAATGCACTGAATTATCAATTATAATATTCAATATAGTTAATAATTCTTCAAATATTATTTTGTTTCTTTAAATATTCAGGGTTTATACGCTAAACAATTTATTTTTGTTTTTTTGTTTGTTTGTTTGTTTGTTTTGATTTTTGCTGTTTCTTTAGCAGGAGCTAATTAAGAAACTTTTTTTTTTTTAACTAGGAATCAAATAAAAGATTTTTAAACTCTTAAAAATAAGAAGCTTTCTTCTTATTAAAGTTTCTTCAGTAGAACTAGACATCAGCTTTCCCCCTAGAATTTGTCAGGATGAGTTCGTTAAGACTCAAAACACTCTGTCTAGAAACGATATGTCCCTCCACATAGGCCATGCCTGGGTACCCCTACACCATGCCCCATGCCCCCACATCACATCATCAGTTGTCTGCAATAAGAAATGTGCACGTCAGACCCTTTATGTTTTTCTTTTCACTGTTAGTTTTGTATAGTAAAGCCTTTATTGGGATTTTGTTTAGGAAATATGACAAAGTTGCCTTTTATCCTCTGTCTAGGAAATGCGGGGCTCTGTGCCTGCAAGCCCGGCCCCATGGGCTCACCAGGCCCTCCAGGACTTCCTGGGAGGCAGGGTAGTAAGGGAGACTTGGGGCTCCCTGGGTGGCTTGGAGAAAAAGGTCACCCGGGCCCTCCTGGTGCTGAAGGATCTCCAGGGCCACCAGTGAGTAATTCTTACCAGTAACAATCTTTCTAGTTAAAAGAGACAGAGAGAATCCAATTGGACCTCCTTCTAACTTATAGTGTGATATATATTTTATATTTTGAACTGATAAATATATTAATGGCCAAAAATTATTTGTATTCATTCATTCACTCATTCATTTATCCATTTGACTCACATTTATCGAGCGCCTGCTATGTTCCAGGTGCTATTCCAGGTGCTGGGAATACAGCAGGGACCAGAACACAGTCTCTGCCCTCTGGAGGCCCATGTTCTATTGGCGGACATACACCATGTGACAGAGAGATGAGTAAATACACAGTGTGGCAGGTGGCAATAAAGGCCATCATCATCTAGTATTGCTTGGGTGGAGAGAGTGAGGGGCAGAGCAGGAGAAAATGAAGTTAAAGAAAGAGCTGGAGGTGAGGAGGCCTTGCTGAGCGTGGGGCTTTAGAGGTGCGTTAGTTTTGAGTTTTTACTCTGGGTGACACAGAGCAGCCAGTGGGGAGTTTTAAGAAAAGAGAGACAATCTGACATTTGTTTTAAATGGATCACTCTGGTAGCTCTGTTAAAAACAGACCATAAGGAACAAGGGAAGAAGCAGGGAGATCCCTGCCGTAATCCTGGTGAAACATGATCGTGAACGGATTAACCTGGTAGTGAGGGGTGTGGTGGGACGTGGTCAGATTCTGGATATGTTCTGAAGATAGAGCTAACAGATTGGCTGTTAAACTAGACATGGGATACGGGAAGAAGAGATGTAAAGGATGGAGCCAAACTTCCCTGTGTGAGGAGCAGGCATAGGTTGGGAAAAGGAAGCATAATCACTGGGGACATTTTAAGTTTGAGATGCCAATTAGATCAGCAAGTGGAGATGTCAGATGGGCAAGGGCGATGAGATTCAAGCATTCAAATGAAAAGTAGAGGCTGGAGATATAAATATTGGCATTGTCAGAGATTCTGTGATATTCAGTGCTGGAGAGTGGACGAGATCTGTCTCAAAATGGCTGTCATTTGCTGACCATTATGAGTGACTCAGGTTGAGGTACAGCCTTTCGGGTGTCCCTTTGGAGGCTGTAGACAGCCTTCCTTTCGCCTTCTTATTAAAAGGCTTAATCCTGAGGTGACCTGGAGCCTAACCATCAGCACCCATCTACCCTTTGCATTTTACCCAGGAAATCTTATGAAGATAAGCTTCCCATCTTAGACCCTTAAGTGGGAGTGATGAGTAAATTCTCCCTGCACCCCGCTTGTCGGATTTGCAGAGCATATACTTGTAAAGTCTACTCAGTAGGAAGCTAAGTCCTTCACGTATGGATGTTGAATGGACTTGACTGCAATTATTAACTCATTTGCATTTTATCGTCAGCTTTTCTAATTTAACATTTTACACTTGATCTTAGCCAAAAGGCCGAGAAGCGATAATTTTAACATCTTATCATAGTCATTTTTTGTTGTTATTTAATCTTCTTAATGAAGATTTTATTGATCTCTAAAATATTGGTTGTGGCTTCCTATTGAGTTGCTTCTCAGGTGAACATCTTAGAGTGTGGCTTACTAGTTCATCCAGGGTTGTCCTTCTTGGCGAAGATTTATGTAATTCAGTTGCTCCAGGGCTTAAGTCTTTGGACTGGTTGTATTTCTGATATCTTTGTTCTGTGTCTGATTCTGCCCATATGGCGTCTGCACATTGTGGCCACAGTTAGAGACTACTGTTATAGAGCACTATGAAAGAAAAGGATGGAAAGAGGATGGACAGAGGAAGGAGCACGAAGGAACCACAGACAATCACTGTGAGTGCTCTCACTTCTCTGTGCATCGCCTCTCTCCTATGCTGGTGCCTGGTTCCAGCAGCCACAGATGGATGGGAAAGTGACAAACAGGGAAGCAGGTTCAAATTCAATGTTACATTTTCCGTAGTTGGACCAAGGCTTTGTACTCATTGCCTCAGCCTGAGAGCACTCTCTGGGTTGGGGGTTTCCCACCAGGGCACACCCAGCTTCAAATCCCAGCCCTGACATTGCCGAGCACTGCCGTCTTTCTGAGCATCAGTGCCTCATTTATAAAATGGATAGAACAACACCTGTCGTACAGGTTTGCTGGTAAGAATTCAATTATGCAATAGTCTGTTTTGAGAGCTGTAAGTACACACCAGTGAACAAGATGACCAGATCACTGTCCCTGAGGAGTTACAGAGCAAACCCAAAGTCCCAAACTGACATGGGCGAAATCCAACCTGCTGGCATGTTTGCTTTTGTCCTCATGGTGTTTCTTTTCATATTATTAATATGAGATTTATGGCCACCCTTGAGAAATTAGAAATTCATTAACATGAAGTCAGTGCATTCTCATTGCAGCCAGAAGTAGAGAGGAGGCTGTGCCTGTGGGAGGAGGTTTGGATGCTCCAGTCCCCACCATGACCACCCACCTACTTTCCTGGAAAGGGCACGGCCTCAGTGGGCACCTGTGTTTGAAGGCACTGATCTAGACTGTATAGGAAACAACTAGTACATGCCTAGCGGAGAGGACGTCTTTGTTGCTGCTGAGATTTTATTGTTATATTAACACACGTGTTTAGTGATCTCAGGTCTTAGAATCGTGAAAAGTAGCTTTCAATTCCAAAGCAGCCAGGAACCTTTGCTTCAGGAATCTCTTAGGTTTAACATTAGACTCTAAGTGCCAAAAAGGCAAAACAATCTTGTTAACTGCTGTGTCCTTGGGACTCAGAATAATGCCTGGCATTTTGTAGGTTGTCAGTAAATGTCTCTAGTGAAATCCAAAGACAGTGCTGGTAATTTTTTTTTTTCTTACTAGCTCAACTAAGCCTATGATTTGACTCTAGAAATTAAAATTCTGTATCTGCAAAACCTTAGAGCAATTTATAGTGCATTCTAAGTTTCCAATGTGCTCGCTAATAAACTGCTCAGACCCCCACGACATATCCATTCTTCTGGCGTACTGAGGTCTTATTTATTAAACATGCCACAGGCATTCTCTGTCTAGAGAGCAATTGGTTCAAATACTATCTGAATAATTTTCTGTCTTGAGAGTCTATCCATCAGAAGAAATTTTCATTATCCATATCTTGGGCTGGATACTGTATGCCGTTTACTTTGGCCCTGTCCCATTGTCACTTGTAACTTAGCATATAGAGTAAAAATAAGAATTTAAGCAATACTCATTCCATATTAGCACCATATGATTTCTAAAGTTCCTTTCCTGTCTCATTTGGCTATTTCCACTAAGAAATTTGTTCCACTCACCTTGGTGATGCCTCATAGACATTGTTACACACAGGATGCGTTACTGCAGTGACGTTCTTGGGTATCGAGTGCTGCGTGTGTGGCTCTATTTCCTCTACATTAAATAGCTCCCAACCATTTTGTTCATTTGAGTTTTTATGCTTGTGGTGGACCGTTTTTGGCTTCTTTTCATTCTTACCGCTTGATGCTGCCATTGTGCGTATCTCTCTTTTACCTTTTCCTCTTTATAGTTCACTGCATGTAAACTGGTAAGGGCCGGTTAAAAATAAAATTAAGCACATTGTGAGACTCTATGAAAATAAGGCAAGGTGGCATGTGTGTGAGCAAAGCAAATGGTCTTCTCAGTCATTCTTACCTTCCAGATTCTTGCATTTCTTAATTATCGAGGTCACCAGATAAATAATCTTAAGCTATGTTTAATGTTTCTATAACTATATTTGCTATAATGCTTGGCCATTCTAATATACAAACAGTAGGTTTTCAGATTTTTGACATGACTTGATATTCAGTAATATGTGACACAAAAAACGTGACCCGAATAGTCCAGTCTTAGCGCAATGTTGAAGTCAAAAGATGATGAGCCCATCAAGTAGAATTAGTTGTTTACTTGCTCTACAGAAAAAGTTCTTATTCTCCCTCTCTTGCTCATTAACTCCCTTCAATATCAATCTCTTTGATCATAAACTCGTCCCTCAATCTCTACTTTCAGCTCCAGCAGCCATCCTTGTGATTGACCTACTCTCCTCTTTCCTCCCAATTCTATTTTACGAAGCCCAAGAGAGTTTTAAAGAGGTTTTTAATGATAAATTTTCGTTTTGATATAAAGTTTTCTTTTATGACTCTCAAGAAGTTGCACAATCAATCAGTGGGCTCCCGCTAACCCTTCACTCAGCTTTCCCCAATAATATCTTACATAATCCTAGTACATTGTGAAAACCAGGAAATTGGTATTGATACATTTTTATTGACTCAGGTACAGACGATATTCAGATTCCACCAGCTTTCATATACAGTTCGAAAGCCTCAATTTTGGAAGGTAGGACCCACCTTGGAAGGCAGGGAAGAGAAGGAGACCAAGCGTGCCAAGCTAGAATCCAGAACAGGTGATTAGAAGGAAAGAAGAGATTAGATATATATGAATGTTATTAAGTTTTGACCCGTCACAGTTAAACTGATCTGTTGCTATTATTTTTCATCAAGGGAGAACCTGGTGCCTCAGGACCACCTGGCGACAAAGGAGAAAAGGGTGACACAGTTGTATCAAGAGTTAAAGGTGAGCCTAGCCCGTTATTTTGTTCCCTGCCATTTTATGAATGATATATGAACCATCCTCTTGCATTTATTTCTCCTGTGACCACAGATCAAATCTATAACAAGATTTAGGATTATTGAGATTACTTAAAAAAATACTCTCTGTCCTCCACTGAATGTTGAACCTCAAATCCTGTCTGTTGTTTGAGAACTTAAACACTCCTTTAGTCACATCTTCAAATCTTTATTGTTGTCAGCAACTTCATTGCTGACCTTCTTTGATTTGCTGCATTGTACTGCGTTATAGTATTTTGTATTAATCAAGAATATTTCGGTTGTATGTGACAGAAATCCAGCGTGAAGTAGTTTAATAAAAAAGTAATTTATTGACTTTGTTAAACAAAATATGAAAGGTTAGATGTAAGGATTACTTGAGACGATTGCTTAATAGGCTCTCCCTGCATCTTGCATCTTTCATTCTGCCACGTGTATTTTTTTCCCCAGGATTAGCTTTCCCTGGGCTGTGGGTACGTGCTCCAGGCAGTTCCAAGTTCTTAGAACCAGATATAAAAGACAGCTCTATCGTCTCAGCTCCAGTTAGAAAAAAAATTCAGAAAGGACTAGACTGACCTGGGTCAAATGTCTAACCGTGGAATGTCCCCCCATTCACCATGGGCAGGAGATGGGGTATCATGTTTGACATCTCGCAAGCAGGAGCAGATGCTGCCATGATTAGCACCTCCATATTCAACCTCCTTGTCAAAATGAGAAAAGGAATATTCCTCAAATAAGAGCTTCAGCGGGTTTGGCAATTGTCATTCTCCTCTCTTGAGTTTTGCGTAGTTGTGTTTGTGTGACTTAGTCAACTGAAGAACTCAGAGGAATCTCTACTAGCCGACATAGAGTCAAAGTCATTTCCTTTATTTTTAGTCCTATAATTTCTTCCACTTCACCCCTTGCTGATAAGGGCTTGAATATCATTTGGCTTTTGTTCCTAGGGCGCAAAGGAGAAAGAGGGCCTGATGGCCCCCCAGGATTTCCAGGGCAGCCGGGACAACATGGCTGGGATGGACATGCTGGAGAGAAGGGGGATCCAGGACTCCCAGTATGTATAATTCTTCTCCTGCTATAGAATTTCACTTCCTTACATGGTCACAAAACAACTATTTTCCCCTTCTTTGAAAAGAATTATAACTCAGTAAAGTGTCAACATGCTATAAATCAGAGTCACCTTTGATTCACTGCCACAAAAAGATGGTTATAAAAAGTATGGCATAATGGAAGATGGTCTAAATTCCTGAGTGGCAGTTCAGTCATAGCAAGATTTTCTGTCCTCGGTCTTTGTGTTGTTCTCGTGGTGGTCCTGGATCCCTTGTATCTGTAAATTCCCCACTGATTTGAGTTCTGTTCAGTTGACTCTATGGATAGAGCACAGGCCCTGATAATTATCTTCAGTTCTGTCCCCTGGTGAAGAAGCATATGAGGGGCGTGGAAAGCAAAAAAGTGAATTAGTACAAATCCACTAAATTAATGTGTCGGCTGATGGAAAATCTCATTGATAAATGATATTTCTGCATTTTTCAAGCATGTTTTGGGTGGAGACCATGTGTAGGTAATGAAGGTCATAAGAAAAGACTGAATCATGATTCAGTGCTTAGAAACTTAAAATATCTTGGGTAGGTGAGGTATTTCTGAATGCTCATAATGTCATCGAAGTGAGCTAGATATTTGCTCATTATAGTCATCTTCTGAAGAGCGATTACCTTTCCACCTTTACAGTAAGGAAATAGAGGCTTGGGGTATGTTACTCAAGGTCATCCATCCTCCAA